GGAGCCGGAGCTCAGGGCCTGGCCGCTGTTTCTTAGTATTTTTTCCCCCCGCTCAACAATGGCGCTCTGCCATTTGAGCCACCGCTCCCCTTCCCATGTTCCGGTGGTTCACTGGTAAGAAGAGTCTCACAGACTTTCCCTCCCGGGGCTGGCTTTGATCCCCGATCCCCAGATCTCAGACTCCTGCAAAGCTGGGATTACAGGTGTGAGCCACAGCGCCCAGCTCTGCATCCATGTTGAGTTTTTCATGGTTCTCTCCACAGCGTCTCTCACAGAACAGATGGAAACATCTTTCTGACAAGGGGCTGAAATGACCTCTGAGGAACAGTAGAGCCACACGGGACAGCAGAGCACCCCCAAATGAGGACAGGGGCCAGGCTGGACCAGGAAGCCACAGCTCCCTTCCCGTGGGAGCCACAACAGAGATAAAAATTTCTCCAGAACCCAGAGAACCAGAACAGAGGCAAACACCAGCCAAGGTCACTTGTAGCTGAGGGCCACAGTCCAAAACCAGCACGGTGGGAAAGTCCCTAAGAGTCTTGTTATTTGTTTTGTGCCAGTCCTGGCCCTTGGACACTGTCCCAGACCTTGTCCTTTTATTTTTTCGTTCTACCACTTGAACCACTTTTCGGTGGCTCATTAGTGGTGAGAGTCTTGTGAACATTCCTACCCCAGCTGGCTTTGAACCACAAATCTCAGCATCCCAAGTAGCTGGGATGATCAGTATGAGCTGCTAGTGCTGGGCCTGTGTAACTGGAATCTCCCATTAACCACCAAAAACATATATTATATATATATATATATATATCCAGAAGTGACGCTGTGGCTCAAGGGGTAGAGCACCAATCTTGAGCAAAAAGCGGAGACAGTGCCCAGGCCGTGAGCAAGCCCCATGCTGCAACAATCAATGAATTATAACAAAGCAGGCTTTGGTGTGTTCTAGTTGAGCCAGAGGATCTAAACAGGAGATAAGATGTGTGTTTGAAGCATTAACCAGCCTCAGGCCATAATGTCTTTGTCTTGTGTTCCTTTTCTTCCCGGGTCTTGGCATTTCTGGCATTGTAGTATGGGCAGGGGTAAATATGCCTGAATTTTCTTTTTCTTTTCTTTTCTTTTTTTTGGGTCAGTCCTGGGGCTTGAACTCAGGGCCTGGGCGCTGTCCCTGAGCTTCTTTGGCTCAAGGCTGGCGCTCTACCACATGAGCCACAGCACCACTTGCAGCTTTTTCTGCTTATGGGGTGCTGAGGAATCGAACCCAGGGCCTCATGCGAGGCGAGCGCTCTACCTCTGAGCCACCTGCCCAGCCCTGTGCCTGAATTTTCAAGTTCGGGATCAGAAATTCATTCTTACCCTTTGCTTATGCATGAAGCTGAGGGAAGTGATCCCCTTCGTAAAGAAGCAAAGGGTTAAATATTCTGCTGAGTTTATGGCCCTCTCCACAGAAAGTACTCCGGCGCCCTCCGTTGGGAAGTTCAAGTATAGCAACTTGGAGGAAACGGATTCATTTGTATCCAGTTTGTAAATGGTTATCTTAAAGTGATAGACAGTGCTAGCATGCATGAGGCCCTGGGTTCGATTCCTCAGCACCACATAAGCAGAAAAAGCCAGACATGGCGCTGTGGCTCACGGGGTAGAGCGCCAGCCTTGGGCAAAAGCAGCTCAGGGACGGCGCCCAGGCCCCAGGACTGGCAAAAAAAAACAACAACAAATCCACAAACAAACAAACAAAGAATGAGCGCGTTTCTCTGTGGGCCCTGCCCCCCCTTCCCTCGCTCTCTCCCCATTTTTCCCTCCCGTCCCCACCCACCAGTGGTGGAGTTCATTCTCCACCTGGTGTCCAGCGAGGACCCCGGCTGCCTTGGTTTCCCCTCTGTCCCCCCATTCCTGTGCCCCCCTCACCCTCCCAGAGACAGAGAAACCCACCACCAGACAAAAAAAATGAACCCCTCCTGTTTGCCTTTCCTGGGGCTCGTTTGGGTGCGTGTGCTTGGATAGGATCCCAGGCCCAGAGAAACCCAGGCTCGCGGCTTCCCTCATTCCTGGAGGGGCCACAGATGGAGGTGAGGGTTAGTGGCGCTCCCCTTCAAACATGGGAACTCTTCCCTTAGGCCTTGACTTCAATCCTGAGTAAGAATGTCTGGACGAGTCACAAGCGGGCAAACAGACAGACCAAAGGACCAGCAGAAGGATGGCAGAGTGTGGGAGCTCTCCTAGGGAGAGAAGACACACACACACGCACACACACACATGTGCACGCAGGCACAGAGACAGGCGGACAATCCTGCAGAGACAGACAGACACACACACAAGGAGACACCCGAGAGACACACCGCTCCTTGGGCAGCTGGGTCTTTACAGGGTAAAGGCTTTGGGGGTCTGGCTTTGGGGGTCTGGTGCTTTGTCTTTGCTTTGTTATTCTCTGGGTTTCCAGGCACAATGCATCTGCCAGGAAACAGATTCTTACCCTTGAAAGGAGGGGACACCCTGCCGTCTGTGTTTTGGGGCATCCTGTCAGGCAGCTGTGAAATCTTGGGTGAGAAATGCATCCCTCAGCAAAGGATGCGTTGTTCAGCGGCCTCTCTTTGAGGCAAAGATAGCAGCGCTTCTAAGTTTCTAGATGCCACATGTCTGGGATGCCTTCCCCAGGCCTCGGTTTCCTTGAATTACCCTCCTTCGTGTCCCCTAAAATGGCTTTGTTCCCTTCATCCTCAGGGAAGCAGGATGGGCAAGCTCGCAGCGTGAGTCTTGGGATCCTGGGGTGGCATGGGAAGATGGTGCGTCGGATTGCTAGGAGCAGACATCTTGCACAGCATCCTTTGAAAAGGAAGCCAGGTCCGAAAGGAGAGAGATAATAAACCACAGGGACAATGCGAGGCGCCGCGGACGAGCCCCCGCAGAGTAACGCCAGCAGGGAAACAGCAACTGTGTTCTCAACAAGTGGCCCACGAAAGCTACGAGCAGGGTCGGACGCGGCACTAACCTGCGCGGGTCCTTCCTGCGGGGTGGGGCGACGCGGCTGGACATGAGTCTCTTGGAGCTTCCTGCCCCGGCCAGACCGATAGATGGAAAGGAAGACAGGGGCCAGGTGATCATCGTAGTGGAAAACAGACCCGAGCCACCTGCGTTGTAATGCTGGCAAGTGTACAGGCTTGGCTAACGTTGGGACCCATCTCCCCTGCATCGGGGAAGCTTCTAGTACAGCATCCTCTTCACCCTGGGGAGGGGGGGCAGCCAGGACCAGAGTCTGGTCCCACAAAGCAATCTGGTGCCCAGCATAGATTTGGTCTCAAGAGCCCGTTGGTCACACACCAGTCAGTGGCCTTGAGTGTTTCTCGCCCAGGCAGAATGCCGGGCACATTGCCAAACCAAGTTGTTTCCACTTTAGCCCAGGGGGAAAAAATCATCAAAAAGGCACATAACGTAGGTTTTTACTCACATTTTAAAATGCTCATTAACACTTGAGACCCAGCCGGGCGCTGGTGGCTCACGCCTGTCATCCCAGCTACTCAGGAGGCTGAGATCTGAGGATCGCAGTTCAAAGCCAGCCCGGGCAGGAAAGGTCCTGAGACTCTGATCTCCAATGAACCACAGAAAACTGGAAGTGGCGCTGTGGCTCAAGCAGTAGAGCGCCAGCCTTGAGCGGAAGAGCTGAGGGACGGCGCCCAGGCCCAGAGTTCAGGCCCCACAACTGACCAAAAATAAAAAATATATAGCATGCTTAAGGACTGTTTCTATGACCTGTTTGTTTTGATTACTTTTGTTTGTTTGTTTTGGTTGGTCATGGGGCTTGAACTCAGGGCCTGGGCGCTGTCCCTCAGCTCTTCAGATCAAAGCAATCGTTCTACCACTTGAGCCACAGCTCCACTTCTGGTTTTCTGAGTGGTTTACTGGAAATAAGAATTTCATGAAGTTTCCTGCCATGGCTGGCTTTGAACCTTGATCCTCAGATCTCAGCCTCCTCAGTAGCTGGGATCAGAGGTGTGAGCCACCAGTGCCTGGCTTGAAAAAAAACTCACAACTTTTGGGCTGGGCAGGTGGCTCAGTGGTAGAGCGCTCGCCTAACATGCAGGAAGCCCTGGGTTCGATTCCTCAGGACCACACACACAGAAAAAGCCAGAAGTGGCTCTGTGGCTCAAGTGGTAGAGCGCTAGCCTTGAGCAAAAGAAGCTCAGGAACAGCTCCCAGGTCCTGAGTTCAAGCCCCAGGTCTAGAAAAAAAAATCATGACTCTTTATTTTCATAACATTGGGTGAAATAGTATAGAAAATCTCAAGAATTGGGATTTGGGGGGAGGGGGGGTCTCCTATCTTAACTCTACATGAGTTCCTCACTATTCTCATTTTTCTCTTGAAAAAAAAAATCACTCAAACAGATATTATAAGAATGAGAACAAAGCCGGGCACCCGTAGCTCCCGCCTGTCATCCCAGCTACTCAGGAGGCTGAGATCTGAGGATCACGGTTCAAAGCCAGCCTGGGCAGGAAAGTCTGTGAGACTCTGATCTCCAACCAAGCACCACAAGTCAAAGTGGAGCTGTGGCTCAAGTAGAGTAGAAAAGCTCAGGAGTCAAGGACTGGTGGCTCACACCTGTCATCCTAGCTACTCAGGAGGCTGAGAACAGAGGATCGTGGTTCAAAGCCAGCCCGGGCAGGAAAGTCCAAGAGACCTTTGTCTCCAATGAATTACAGAAAAACCTGGAAGTAAAGCTGTAGCTCAAGTGGTAGAGCCACCAGCCCTGAGCAAAAATGAAGCTCAGGACAGTGCCCAGGTCCTGAGTTCAAGTCCCAGGACTCACACACACACACACACACACACACACACACACACACACACACACACACACACACACAGAGTTCAGGGATAGTCCCCAGATCCTGAGTTCAAGTCCCAGGACTCACACACACACACACGAGTTCAGGGATAGTCCCCAGATCCTGAGTTCAAGTGCCAGGTATGACACTAAAAAGAAAAAAAAATAACAATAATAAAGAACAAGCAAGACGTTCTAGAATGTCATTCCAGAAAGATCAGGTGTCAGAGGCCTTCAGGTCGGCCTCTGTCTCGTGTGGGTGTGGGCCGCAGGCGGACAGCAAACCACTCTCCCACGCCACTTCCGCCGGCACCTCTGTCTCCCACAGAACCTGGACCTGCCCTTTGCTGCTAGAAGGTCTCCTCTTCCTCCAGCCATGGACTTGCCCATCGTATATGCTGATTTACATCTCGCCAGGGGCCCCGCTCAAGACAGCGCCCCCTCCTCCACTCACCCGCCGGGTAAGCGCTGGGTTTGGTTGCTGGGTTCTGCGCATCTTCTGGAGGGCTGCTTTCCTCCTGTTCTTGGTTGCTTGGCCTGGCCGTGGATGATGATCCTTTGGGAGGTTTAACACCTTCCTGCCCTGTTACCATCCTCTTCTTTCTCTCCAGAATCTGAGCTTTGCGTCTCCCCTTGGAGCTTTGCTCGGTGCCAGCGGTGCTTACGGCTCCCTGCACGCAGTCCTAACTCTGAGATTCCGTGACTGTGTTCACAGGATCTCTGTCAAATACCGGTGCTCACGTCTGTAATCCCAGCTACTCAGGAGGAGGCTGAGATCTGCAGATTGCATTTCCCAGGTAGCCCAAGCAGGAGAGGCTGTGAGACTCTGATCTCCAAGGAGATGGTGGGAAAAGCCAGACATGGAGCTGTGGCTCAAGTGGTAGAGCGCCAGCCTGGAACACAAAGGCTCAGAGACAGTGCCGAGCGCTGAGTGTAAGCCCAGGACTGGCACAGGAAGGAGAAGGAGAAGAAACACAATACAAAAGGCTGCCGGAGACTTAGGGAAGAACATTCTCGAATTACAACCTGGTGCTCTTTAAGTTAAAGGTAGAACTTCCTTTTTTAAGTCACAGGATACAGGAGATCAGCAATTAACCTACTTACTGTTTCTCTTCCTCTTTCTGTCTCTGACTCTCTGTCTGTCTGTCTGTCTCTCTCTCTCTCTCTCATGCAGGTCCTGGGGCTTGAACTCAGGGCCTGGGCGCTGTCCCTGACCTCTTTTGCTCAAGGCTGGCGCTCTACCTCTTGAGCCACAGCTCCACTTCTGGCTTTTTGGTGGCTCATGGGAGATCAGAGTCTCACCAGTTTTCCTGCCAGGGCTGGCTGGGAGCTACGGAGTCGCTGGGATTACAGGCGGGAGCGACCAGTGCCGGGTCTATTTAATGTGTTTTCAGAGTTCAGGAAGTTCATGGCGTGAGAGAGCTACTTGGGGATTTCTGGTGCTGTCAAGGATTTTCATCCCTGAGCTTAAAGCAAAAACCTTACATATCACAGAGTCTGAAATCCCCTCACAGTGCAGGTAAAAGCAAAAGAGAGAAAAATGCAAGGATTCCTTTCAAGTCAGGGAAATCATACATTAGAAATGGCAGGTCTGGAATGGAGGAGAAAAGACTAGAAACGGAGGAAGAAAAGACTTCACTAGCTTTATGTTATATTTGCTATGATATATGTACATATTTACACACACACACATATTGTTGTATTCTCTTCTGAATTCAAACTGAATTTTCTGACAATATTACCACCGTAATTACATTTCCAATTTAATTTCCATTGGTGGAATCTATGTGTTATTATTACGTTTTACTGTTCACCTGTGTTTTAATGCAATTAATATGTGTTCAATTATTAATACCATTCCATTGTTATTGTTTATTAAGGTGTCATACAGCGGGGTTACAATTCTGTAAGTTGGGTCACGAGTACCGTTCTTGGTATGTCTTATATTTTTAGGGTTTCTTGTAGACACAAATGAAGTTATCCATTTTCAGTGGGACGCCTTTGGCTCCCGCCTGTCATCCTAGCTACTCAGGAGGCTGAGCTGGGAGGATCGTGGTTCAAAGCCAGCCTGGGTAGGAAAGTCCATGAGACTTTCACTCCAGTGAACCACCCAAAAGCCAGAAGTGGAGCTGTGGCTCAGGTGTAAAACGCCAGCCCTGAGCACAAAAGCTCAGGGAAAGCATCCAGGCCCTGAGTTTAAGCCTCAAGACTGGCGTACACACACACACACACACACACACACACACACACACACACACAGTCATATAGTCGTTCTATGAGCCTTTTTTTTCCTGGTGCCAGTCCCAGTGCTGTTCCTTAGTTTGTATCTTCAAGGCTGGCGTTCTACCACCTGAGCCACAGCTCCACTTTTGACTTTGTGCTGGTTAATTGGAGATGAGTCTCAGGGGCTTCTCTGCTTTGGCTTGGCTGGGGATCAAGATCTTCAGATCTCCGCCTCCTGAGTAGCAGGGATTACAGGCGTGAGCTGTCTCCTCTCCTCTCTTCTGTTCTTTCCTTCCTACCTTCTTCCTTTTTCCCTTCCTCCCCTCTTTCTTTCATTTCTTTTCCTTCCTTCTCTTATCTCCTTTTCTTTCTTTTCCTCTCTTTGGTTTTCTCTCTCTCTTTCTTCTTCCTTTCATCGCATGGGGATTTGAACTCAGGGTCTTGCCAGGCAAAGTCTTCGGCGTGACACAGGGCATTCTTGCATCGGGTAATCTGGCTGCGATTTTCCCTGAGGCTCTGGGGAAGTGTGTCGGCTGAGCTGGCTGCATTTCACCTGGGAAACTCGAGTCTAGAAATGCAGGGGAGGGGGGGAGTCCCTTCAGCATTGTTGATCCAGGGCCCCAAAGCTGCGAGCGCAGAAAGTCGGATCTGTCAAACCAACCCTGAAGCAACAAACACCTAAGAAGTAGAAGGTGCTCAGAGCAGTGTAGACCTTGGCCTTGGGCTGTTGTAAAACCACAAGCAGCCTGGGTCCAGGGCCCTCACCACACACCGGGGGTGGATCTCAGCCCGGCCACAAAGTCCGGATGGACGTGAGCAGAGACCTATTTTTCTTTGTGGCCAAATGGCAAATGGTTTCCTCTGTGAACTTGGGGAATAACACACACCAGAAAAAGCCAGTGAGTCACGCCTGTCATCCCAGCCGCTCAGGAGGCTGAGAGCTGAGGATCGCAGTTCGAAGCCAGCCTGGCCAGGAAAGCCCATGAGACTCTGATCTCCAAAGGACCTGAAAAATGCTGGCCGTAGAGGTGTGGGTCAAGTGGTATAGTGCCAGCCTTGAGAAAAAAAATAAACAAAAAAGGCTCAGAGACATTGCCAAGGCCCTGAGTTCAAACCCCGACACACACACACACAGACACAGAGTTTTTATTTTGTTTTAGGCTTGTTTTTTTTTTCTTTTTGTCCACTGTAGGGCTTGAACTCTGGGCCTGGGCGCTGTCCCTCAGCTCTTCAGCTCAAGGCTGGCGCTCTACCACTTGAGCCACAGCACCACTTCTGGTTTTCTGATGGTTCATTGGAGATCAGAGTCTCACAGACTTTCCAGCCCAAGCTGGCTTTGAACTACATTCTCAGATTTCAGCCTCTTGAGTAGCTAGGATTACAACTGTTGCCACCAGCTCCTGGCTGTTTTTGTTTTTGCTTTTATGCTGGTCCTGGGCTTTGAACTCAAGGCCTGGGTGCTGTCCCTGAGCCTCTTTTGCTCAAGGCAGTTAGTGTTCTACTGCTTCAGCCACAGCACTTCTGGCTTTTATTGGTAGTTTGTTGGAGATAATACCTCATGCCTTTCTGTCATCCTAGCAACTGAGGAGGCTGAGATCTCAGGACCATGGTTCTAAGCCAAGCCAGAGCAGAAACCCCTGTGTGGCTTTTGTCTCTATCACCAAAAAGCCAAAAGTGGAGCTGTGGTTCAAGTGGTAGAGCACCAGCCTTGAGCAGAAATATTCAGGGGTAGTTCCTAGGCCCTGAGTTCAAGCCCTAAGATTGGCATACGCACACACATGCACACACACACACACACACACACACAGAGTCTCACAGACTTTCCTGCCTGGGCTGGCTTCAAACCATGATCCTCGCGTTGAGTAGCAGGGATGGCAGGGCTGAGCCTCCAGCGCCCTCTGAACAAGTGTCTCTTGCTCCTTGCAGAGGGGTGCCGGGGGCCCTGTTGGCATGGGCTGGCGTGGAAGCTTTTCTGCGCTGCTGTAACGCTGCTGGTCCTGGGCGTGGCTGGGCTGAGTGTGGCAGGTGAGTAAGGCAGCATCTCAGAGCTCTTCCTCTGTTTCCATGGTCACGCCGAGCGCATCTTCACGGAGTCTCAGCCCTTGAATGAGGGGCAAACTCTGAGTCTTGCAACTCCTATTCCAGACCCATTGTGCACCGCCCCCCCCCCTTCCCTCCCGAGTCTCCAGATGCTTCTCGGAGTCATTTAAGGGGACATCACACATGCGCCACAAACTTAAACTAAAAAGAAGGCTCCGTTGCTGTTGGAAGCCAGTGGCTCACGCCTGTCAGCCCAGACACAGGAGGCTGAGATCTGAGGATCACCGTTTGTAGCCAACCTCGGTAGGAAAGTCCATGAGACCCGTATCTCTCCAATGAACCACCCAAAAGCCAGAAGGGAGCTGTGGCTCAAGTGGTAGAGCACCCGCCTGGAACAAAGAAAAGATTGTGGCCTGAGTTCAAGTCCCAGGAGCCCCACAGAACCAAAGAGGTCACAGCTGGGAGCCAAAGATAAAAATAGCCAAGCAAGTTAAACTTTCCAAGGATTTACGGTGGGCTTCCGGTGGATTCCACTTGGTGGACGCCAACCTATCCGTGAGAGCAGACAGTGACACTCGATTTGGAAAGGGACGGAGAGTTGTAAAGAGCATTTCCTTAGGTTGATTTATGTCGTGTAGAATAGATAACCCAAGACTGAGGCGTTCCCTCCTTTGATGATTTCCTCATTTGGTTTTTGGGCTGGCCCTGGGGCTTGAACTCAGGGCCCTGGCACTGTGTCTGACCTTAGTGCCCAAGGCTGGTGCTGGACTCCTCCACTTCCGGCGTGGTGGTGACTCAGATTTTTCCTCCCCTCTCAAGAGTGAGACAATCCATTGGGCCACCGTGAAAGGTGACAAACACATTTATTCACACTATTTAAACCAGAAAGGGGGCCCGCTACTACCTTGTCCTGGGCTAGATACCCAGAACCCAGAGCAGCCTCAACCACCAAACCTCCAAGCCTCCGTTGGGCAGCCCTGACCTTTATGAGTCCGTCTGCAAACCTCCAACCCAGACCTCCAGTGCTCCAAAGCTCCAGGGCTCCGAAGGGGCAGGCTTTTCCTTTTGCTCCCTTCCTCCTCCTCTGCAGGCCTCAGCTCACTCCTCAGGCCGGCCCTGCTCTGCTCCGGGAGGCGTCTCTCCGAGGGCCTCTCTAGGGGAAGGCCCCAAATGGCCTCTTGAGGAACGCCCAAATGAGCTCCAGGGAGGTCCCAGATGACCTCTAGAGGCTTTCCCTGGCTGGCTCAGGCCTGCCCTGCTCTGCTCCGGCAGGCTGGCCCCTCCGCTGCCCCTCCCTCCACGCCATGCCTTCCTGCTCCATTGCTCTACTTCTTCTTTGCCCTCTCTCCCCTCCTCCCCCAGAACTCTCCCAAGGACTCCCCTCAGGACTCCTGGTCTTCCCCCTCCTCAACCAGGACCCAGAACACTCTGCCTGTATATCGGCTGTGCCCCTCCCCCCCTGCCCCCCCCCCCCCCCCGGCTTCCTGGCATGTCCAATGGGACAGTGATGTCAGCTCGTCATTGATGCCCAGCCCCCTCCAGCGGGGGGAGAGGGCTGCGCCATCGGGCCAAACTGATCTGCGGGCCTGCTGATTATTGGGGCACTGGTTAATTACACTACCAGGGCTGGCTTTGAACTCAGATCCTCACATCTCAGTCTCCTGAGAAGCTGGGATTACAGGCATGAGCCATAGCACCTGTTTTTGTTGTTGTTGTTGTCTGTCTTTTTGGTTTGTTTTTTTTTAATGGATTTAGTCTCCAAACCAGGCTCATTGTCACCCCACCAGTAATACTTTGTATTTTCAAGCCTGTGGAGATAACTTGACTCTGGCCATATGCGTGTCATAACATGTAACATCCATTCAAGTGCATATTTCCATATGTACCCCTCTTGCTGTGTTCTTTGCTAGTGGTACTCTTAATGCAAAAATCACCGGCAGAAGAGGGCACAGTGGACATTCAAGAAAACAGAACCGAAACAACAGGTAACTTGCCTTGGCTTGAAGTTCCTGCCAGCTAAGGTGGGGTGACTATCACATGCTCAATAACCACACTGAGGACCCCAGTCACGAGGCTTTCATGCTTGACTCAACTAAAGGGAAAAAAGTTAAGGGCTGGGAATGTGGCTGAGTGTTCACCTAGCATGCATGAAGCCCGGGGTTCGATGTCTCAGTACCACAGAAAAAGTCAGAAGTGGTGCTGTGGCTCAAATGGTAGAGTGCTAGCTTGGGCAAAAGAAGCTCAGAGAAATGCTCAGGCCCTGAGTTCAAACCCCAGGACAGGAAGGAAGGAAGAAAGGAAGGAAGGAAGGAGAGAAAGAAAGAAAGAAAGAAAGAAAGAAAGAAAGAAAGAAAGAAAGAAAGAAAGAAAGAAAGAAAGAAAGAAAGAAAGAAAGAAAGAAAGAAAGAAAGAAAAAGCAAGCAAGCAAGCAAGAAAGAAGAAAACCCTTCTTGGGGATAAAAAGATACCCAGTGAGTTCTATTAGTGGATGAATACATCATTTGGCAGAAATTGTCTTACAATACTCCCTGTGGTCTTTCTCGTGGATTTACTGAAATCGGTTACAGTTGGTCATATACTTTGCTTTAGGTTCAGTCTTTTTAGGTGAGTTAGATATTCCTGTCTATTTAGGGAAATCAACACTGGTGAGGAATTTAATTAAAGTAAGAAATAGACTTAGTTGTGAGTGTGAGTGTATGTGTGTGTGTGTGTGTGCGCACGTGCGTGTGCATGTACTGGGCCTTGAACTCAGGGCCTGGGCACTGTCCCTGAGCTTTATTTCCCAAGGATAGAACTCTACCACTTGAGCCACAGATCTACTTCTAATTCTTTTGCTGATTCACTGGAGATAAGAGTCTGACAGACTTTCTGACCCAGGCTGGCTTTGAACCATGACCCTCAGATCTCAGCCTCCTGAGGAGCTGGGATTGCAGGGGTGAGTCTCAAGTCTTGATCAGCATCTGTTTTATCAGCTCATCTGGAACCAGTAATTCTATCTCTTGGTGTCTTAAAAAAAATAAGATGTGGCTCTTTGAGTGGTTTCAATGGCATTTTTGTGTATTCTAATATCATGTAATTTCATTTATACTTTGCCATATTTCTGGCCACTGACTCTACATTTTCTGTGAACAAATTGAACATGATCTTGAAAATGTCAAAGTTATAATGAACCTCCTGTTATTACAGCAGTATTGTACTGGTGTGTGTGTGTGTGTGTGTGTATGGCGGGCTGTTATTCATCAGGGGCTGGGTGGAAGTTCGTCTTCCAGTTTCTCCCGTAGAGAGACCAGCCATGGCAGCGTGCCCTGTGTCTTAGCATGAACTTGGAGACAAGTGCCTGTTTCTATCATCCACTCCTTTGTCTTGGAATGACAGCCTGACCGACTGCTCCACAAAGCAATCCAACCTGCTGCTCATTCACGATGCAGAGGAGCTGGTGAGTGTGAGGGAAATGCCATCCTGGCTCTCAGCACCCGGAGGCCTGTGCCAGGACCTCTGTGCTGTTCACCAAAGGCTCCATGCGGTGGAGTGGAGACTTGCGATTCCCAAAGCTTAACCTGCAGGAGAATAAAGAGCAAAGACTCAATATGCCTGTGTCTACATCCATCCATCTGTCTATCTGTCCCTCATCCATCATCTACTATCATCCACCATCCATCCATCATCCACCATCCACCCATCCATCCACCATCCATCATCCACCATTCATCATCCACCATCCATCCATCCATCATCCATCATCCATCCACCATCCATCCATCCATCCATCATCCACCATCCATCCACCATCCATCATCCACCATCCACCCATCCATCCATCCATCCACCCATCATCCATCATCCACCATTCATCCATCCATCATCCATCCATCATCCATCATTCATCCATCCACCATCCATCCATCATCCACCATCCATCCATCATCCACCATCCACCCATCCATCCATCATCCACCATCCATCATCCACCATCCATCCATCCATCCATCCACCCATCATCTACTATCCACCATCCATCCACCATCCATCATCCACCATCCATCCATCCACCCTTCATCCATCATCCACCATCCATCCATCCATCATCCATCATTCACCATCCATCCACCCATCCATCCATCCATCCACCCATCATCCATCACCCACCACCCATCCATCCATCCATCCACCCATCATCCATCATCCACCATCCATCTACCATCCATCCACCATCCATCCACCCATCCATCTACCCATCATCCACCATCTACCATCCATCCATCCATCCACCCACCATCCATCATCCATCCATCATCCATCATCCATCCATTATCATCATCTACCATTCATCTGTCATCCCTCTATCCATCATCCATCCACCATCCACCATCTATCCATCCATCCATTATCCCATCCACCATCCATCTATCCATCCATCTACCCATCATCCACCATCTACCATACATCCATCCATCCACCCACCATCCATCATCCATCCATCATCCATCATCCATCCATTATCATCATCTACCATTCATCTGTCATCCATCTATCCATCATCCATCCATCATCCACCATCCACCATCTATCCATCCATCCATTATCCCATCCACCATCCATCTATCCATAATCCAATCACTACCCATGCATCCACCCATCATCCACCATCCATTCATCATCCACCACCCACCCATCCACTCGCCCATCCCTCCATCATTTCTATCTCTACTTTTGTATTTATGTATCTATCTCTATATCTATTATCTGTCTCTCTATCTGGGTATTCTGTATGTATCTATGTCTCTGTGTGTATGTGTATGCATCTATCTATCTTTTTGTGTCTATCCAATTTTTGTATGCATGTCTGTATAACTCATCTATCTTTATTTTGGTATCTATGTATTTGTGTGTGTATGTATCTACCTATCTATCTTGAGAAAGAGAAATACCAAAGAGAAGGCAGAATGAGGCGCTTAGAGACGTGAGGAACTTCTTGCTGCGGGGGTGTTGCTACCCTGGGTTTTAGGGGTGCACAGATAAGATCAGGTACACCTGAAATCTTAGCTCCTCAGGAGGCTGAGAGCTGAGGATCATGGTTCAAAGTCAGCCCAGGCAACAAAGTCCATGAGACTCTTGGCTCCCAAACGCCAGAGGTGGTGCTGTGGCTCAGTGGTAGAGCGCTAGCCTTGAGCAAAAGAGCTCAGGGACAGCGCCCAGGCCGTGAGTTCAAGCCCCAGGCATGGCACCAAAGCAAAAAGCGCCATGTTGTTCTCTGTCCCTTCTATCCCAGAGGCTCCTGTGGGAGTTTCTGGAACATGACAGACATCTCTACTGGATCGGACTACATCGCTCAGTGTCGGGCAAGATGTGGAAGTGGACCAACGGCTCTGAGTTCAGCTCCTCCGGGTGAGTCCTGGTGACGTCATCTGTCGGGCGTGCGGTACATGGTGGAAACCCCGTTTCTCCACATCTGAGTTTGGGCCAAGAAGTCTCCAGAAGCCGGAGCGGCCGGAGGAGATGCAGGATTCCCAGGCGGGGAGCGGATTTTCACCAGGAAGCCCGCGTTTGCCCTCACACTGATCTTCAATTGATTCCTTTATTTTGGTGCTGGTCCTGGGGCTTGAACTCAGGGCCTGTCCTGATGCTTGGCTCTTTCACTCGAGGCTGGTGCTCTGCCACTCGAGCCACAGCTCCACTGCCAGCTTCCTGGAGGTTCACTGGAGATAAGAGTCTCATGGAAATTCTTGCCCAGGGCTGGCTTTGAACCATGATTCTCAGATCTCAGCCTCCTGAGTAGCTGCGATGCCAGGCTTTGAATGGAGTTTGAAAGGATCAGGAATGGACTGATAACTTCTTTGGAAAGGGTCTGTGAAAATGTCATAGGGCAGTTGGGCACCGGTGGCTCCCGCCTGTCATCCCAGCTACTCAGGAGGCTGAGATCTGAGCATCAGGGTTCAAAGCCAGCCCAGGCAGGAAAGGCCTGGAGACTCTGATCTCCAATAAACCACCAGGAAAAGCTGTAAGTGGAGTTGTGGCTCAAATGGTAGACTGCTGGCCTTGAGCAACAATAGCTCAGAAATAGTGCCAGGGTCCTGAGTTCAAATCCCAGGACACACACACACACTCCCTCTGTCTGTCTGTCTCTGTCTCTCTCTGTTTCTGTCTCTCTCTCTCACACACACACACACTCCCTCTGTCTGTCTGTCTGTCTCTGTCTCTCCCTCTCCCTCTCTCCCTCTCTCTGTCACACACACACACACACACACACACTCTGTCTGTCTGTCTCTTTCTGTCTCTCTCTGTCTCTGTCTCTGTCTGTCTGTCTGTCTCTCTCTCTCTCTCACACACACACACACACACACACACACACACACACGAATGATTCTTCCCCAGTAAAGATGAGATCTAGAGTGTCCCAAGCCTATCCGCCGTCTGTAAAAGGCTTTGTGGCATCCTGTGGCCTTGAACCGGTGTCCCTTGCGTCTCTGCGGCTGAGCCTGTGTTCTGCGGCGGCCTCGGGCACTGGGGGGAGGCGTGGGGAGTGTTCCACGCTCATTCACGCTCACGAGGGCGTGTGGCTCTCCCCCCAGCCTCCAGCTGACGGGTGTGGCACAGGACACAAGCGTGTGGCAGGACACCAACTGTGCAGTCGCCTCCCAGGAGCGCTTGTACGCTGAGAGCTGCCAGGCCGAGCTGAGATGGATCTGCCAGAAGGAACGTTCTAGAAAGAGATCACGGCGGTGACGGGCATCTGCCCCCGGCCTCCCTGCATCCTGGGAGGGAAATGAGAGCCATGGAGGGTTGGAGAGAGAGGGACACGCGCCACGTGAACAAAAACAGGCAGAAGGTCAGCACACACGGAAACTGGGCTGGGCAGGTGCTCAGGGCACAGTGCTCGCCCGGCGTGCACAAGGCCCTGGGTTCGAATCCTCTGCACCACAGACATAGAAAAAGCCGGAAGTGGTGCCGTGGCTCAAGGGGTAGAGCGCCAGCCTTGAGCACAGAGAGGCTCGGGGACAGCGCCCGGGCCCTGAGTTCAAATCCCAGCACTGATTAAAAACAAAAAACAGAAACCTGCTTGCCTTCCGCTGTGTTCATGATGCGTGCATTTCAACGTTGACCTCAGGGACCCTACAGAGAATTTTACCACCTGTATTCCTGCACAGACCGGTGTGGAACTGTAAACCGCCCGTGTGTGTGTGTGTGCATGTGCGTGTGTGTGTGTGTGTCCTGGTGCTGTGTAGGTGTGTGTGTGCTGACACTGCGTGTGTGTTGGTACTACGTGTGGGTGCTGGTACTCCGTGTGTCCGTGTGTCCGTGTGTCTGTGTCTGCGTGTGTGTGCTGGTCTTGAACTCAGGGCCTTGTGCTATTGCTCGGCTCTCTCTCTCTAGGCTAGTGCTCTGCCACGGGAGCCACGGTTCCATTTCCCACTCTTTCTGGCTAGTTGGAGATCGGGGGTTTCACACACTTTCCTGCCTGGGCTGATTTTGAATTTCGATCCTCAGACCTCAGCCTCCTGAGTAGCTGGGATGACAGGCGTGAGCCACCAGCACCTGACTGTATGTGTGTGTGTGTGTGTGTGTGTGTAATAAGTATTATATTATGTATTACACATGATATATACATCACATATAATTTATATTGTATAATACATTTTACATCTTTATTCTATTTATTGTTATACTTTACATAAATATACACATACGCAAATAAAGAATATACTTGGTGCTGAACGCAGGACCTGGGTGTGATCCCTCAGCTTTTGTGCTCAAGGCTGTTGCTTTACTACTTGAGCCACAGCTCCACTTCTAGATTTCTGCTGGTTCATTGGAGATAAGAGTCTCACAGAGCCGGGCGCCGGTGGCTCCCGCCTGTCATCCCAGCTACTCAGGAGGCTGACATCTGAGGATTGCAGTTCAAAGCCAGCCTGGGCAGGAAAGTCCCTGAGACTCTGATCTCCAACAAACCACCAGAAAACCGGAAGTGGCGCTGTGGCTCACGTGGTAGAGCGCCCGCCTTGAGCTGAAGAGCTGAGGGACAGCGCCCAGGCCCTGAGTTCAAGCCCCACCACCAACCAAAAAAAACAAAGAAGAAGGAAAATGCTTTGATTTGGTTCTGCAACAATAAAATTGAAACCTCGCTGGGGAATGGGAGAATGCTTTTAAACAAAACCGTCATGAATGCAGACGTGAGCACAGCTTCTGTTTTCCCTCTGAAGCCTCACAGGTGGGAGTTGCAATTTCCAGGTAGCGTACCACGCTCTCTTGACTGTCTCCTTCTGTCTGTCTCTGTCTCTCTGTCTCTGTGTCTCTGTGTCTCTGTCTCTCTGTGTCTCTGTGTCTCTGTGTCTCTGTGTCTCTGTTTCTCTGTCTCTGTCTCTCTGTCTCTCTGTGTCTCTGTCTCTCTGTCTCTCTGTCTCTCTGTCTCTCTGTCTCTCTGTGTCTCTGTC